AGAGGGCCAAAACCAACCAAATTTACCTTTTGGTGAATTTAGGGCTAATGGATCGCAAGAGCACATAACGTCCCAGACGTGCTCTAGCTGCTGCTCGACGACTGGTACCGCCCATGCAGCGGGTTCTGCTTCAGAGGCAGGCAGAGGCCCGCACTGTCGCACTATTGCCAAAACAGCTTGAAGAGGACAGCAAGGAGTGTATGGTTTGCATCTTGACCGGAAGACCTGGGCCGATAACATTGCCAGGTGTGTTTGCAATCCAGCGAGCACCGGATTGTGCGAACAGAAGCGGTGCGCACGTTGCAAGAGGTGCATGCCACGGGCCATGACAATGAAAGTTGAAAACATATGCTTCGACATCATCATGTGCTCTGTGAATTGACACTGCCTCGTTCGGAGGTCGTTGATCCAGGAGATCAGGCGGCAGCACAAGCGTTGGGAACTGTGGTGCTGGATGAAGATCGTCAGGTGCCCAGTGTTGCTCAATGCCATTTAGATGCCCACGCATGTTGGTCAAGTTAGCAGGCTATGTTCCATCTTCCGACAGCTTCTGAGGTTTTGTACATCGAGCCTTGGTCGATGCCCTTGTCGTCCACAGCGCTGATCCTCAAGCCAGGTCAGCATTGCACGAGCTAGCGCAGGCTTGGCATGGCTGTCCAGTTGTCTCGGGCACGTCTGCCTTGATATTTAATGACGCTCATCAGGACCACGACCGTTTTGTCCAGAACGCAGCACGACACGCCATCTCGGAGCTTGGAGACGTGCAATCCAGTGAGACTGTCTAGACGTGCCCCTCCCAGCCAGTGTTGCAGAAGTCTAAGTGTATTGCATTCAACATCGGAAGTGGGGAGCAGGTGAGCAGGAACCATGGAGAATGACGGAAGCAACTGGAACTTGAACGAGCACAGCGTCACTGAGTGGATCGACAGATTTACGGCGATGCCTTCGAACAAAGCCCCATCATCTCGTCATCATCAGCTCCAAGCGCGACTTGCGAATGAGTGAATCGCACTTTTCACTACTCTGATCTCGGCTCCATGTCCAGCTGGTGTGTGCCGAGGATTTGTTCAAGATTTCGCAATGGCGGCAGAAGTTCTCACACCGCCCGATGTTGTATGTAAGCTGTGCGGGTGCGGTGTGTGTGTGTGTGTACGTGGCAGATTACCTCATCTGGTCGTGTGTGCGAGCTGTGGTTGACAAAGGTGTCGACGCAAGTGGGCTGAAGATCAGAAATGGAAAGCTGGCGGCAACCGGCCGAGCTATGCTTAACACTGTTGACCCAAACTTTATTTGCAGCATTCGCCAGACTTACTGGCCACTTCCTTTTCAATCTTGCTCTAGTGGCAGCGCAGCACGGGGGATTGCATGCTGTCATGATGGCATAGCTCACCAGACAGATGGAAGAAGACAGGAAACGTTCACGATTTCACCAGGCAGGATAGATTGGGTGCTCGCTACATAAGACATAGGACTACATATGAGCCTGGATCTGCCATCGTCACAGTCTTTTGGCCCAATGTCTTCTGACGAGAACTTCAAAATTGCGGCAACATCGCAGTTAGAGCAACGCCATGATTCTTGGAGCTGGGCCACCGGCATCCCCAGAAAGCCTTCTTCTCGGTGTTTTGTGAGTTGGGGATGTGCCTATGTGACACGAGAGTTTCCCGCATGTAGGCTGGAGGCGAAAATGTCGCGAGCAAGCGGTCCTCCCTATGTGCCACGACCTCCACCAGGACAGCAGTAGATGCTCGGTGAATTTGTCTAACACTTGCCTGAGAATTGCGCAGAGCAGGCCGCACCGTGGTCAAAACTGGACGGCGGTTCATTGGCGGAAGCTTCCGACCCCAAAGTCGGTGACCGGCTCAGGCTGCAAGATAGGGCATAGTTCCGAAGTGAACCCCTAGTCAGCCCTAGTCACTAGTCACAGCTACGATCACGAGTCCCTCGCAGTGCAGTCTGAGTCGTGGACTGTCAGCCTCACAACGGTAGACGGCGGCCAGGGGTTCTTCGGATTTCGGACCGTCCAGAATGTTTCCGCCGAAAGAGTACCAGTAGTAGTCATGCGTTCGTTTCGTTTGGTTTTGCAGCAGATTTCCGTGATACTGCGGGGTCTTCGTGCAATCCTCGGGCGAGATGCGCTCGCTGAGGCCAGTAGGCCTCCGGGCTCCCCCAGCCCAGAAGGTGCCGCCGCCCAGACTTTGGATAGAGGACTGTTCCTGTCACCTGTCCAGTATGACACGGACTTTCAGAATTCTTTCCTATGTCTACTCCGCATCCTTGCCTTCGCAGAGGATGCCAATGCAGACACCGACTGTTCCGAAACTGAAGTGTGCCTTGTCCCACTTATATGCTGGGGAGGAGGAGTGGCTTGCTTTGGCGATGTGCTTTAGGGTGCAGTAGATTTGCCTCGGTCAAGTCTGAGCTTAGGCGTACCGGCAGGCGGCTCAGTGCAGAGCCGCTCCCTCAGCTGTGATGGCCCGTGCCCGGTCAAGCCTGCTGAATGCAGGGAGTTGCTGATGGTCTGTGCTCTGTGTCAACTTTGATTTTTTGCACAGAGCAGTCTTGTTGACGTTAACCTCCTGCGCTTGTGCATTCGTACCCTGAGGTATGCAGTTACTGTTCCCGAATGGGCCGATGTACCTCGAGCCATGGCTGTCTCTGGGGACGAATTCGTCAGCCGGGGTCCCGGCACCAGACCTCCGAGCTTTAACTTCGTCGTGGTTTGGTGAAAGGCTGCCACCCGGTACCTGGCGGGGTGAAGCTTGTTCTGCGGCGCTCCGGAAATCCGGCCCGCGAGCCGTCTCCTGCCCGGCCCTTGGTTTTGTCGGCTTAGACAGAGTCGAAGCTGATGCGGCCTATCATATTGCAGGATGGTTTTCCAATTGTAATCTGGCAGCACCACTGAGATGAAGACGGCGGTTGTGGTCGGAGGGATGCGTAGAGGGTATACGGGTTGTGCGGTGTAAGATGTCGACGTACACCTCACAGATCTGCGCATGCTTGCCGCTATGTAGATCCGCTAGAAGAGTAGACATACCAAGCCACACAACAACAGATAACCTGCAACGTGCTCAACTTCATCCCGGGAATTGGATGAATTGAGTGTGTGGCTGGGTTGTCCGATACATGTGAGTGATTTCGGCCAGGACTATACGGTTGCAGATGTGCAAGGCACGCTGGAAGAGCTGGAGCAGGACCAGATCTCCATTGTAGAAGGCCTGCTTAGTGCACTGACGGTTACTCACTGCTCGCACAGGAAGTTCCAGAAGTAGACGAAGACCAGTTTGATGAAAACCAGTGGATGAATGACAACCGACTCCAATGTCTTGCAGAAGGCCTGTGCGGGTACTGTATGTGCTTGAAGATGTGCTAGTGAGCGTCTGTGGCTTGCAACATGCGCTCCCAAGCCAGAAGCTGTTTGGCAGCCTTTGTTCTGAGCGGTGTTGCGGAGGTGCCGAAGTCTGCCCTCCATCAGAAGCCCGCCGGCGTCCTGCTGCACCAAGACGCCAGGAGAGAGGCCTGCAGCCTGCTTTCAGTGGCTTCTCACGAGCCGCGATTGAGCCGTGACCTCTCCTGAGTCTGAGCCTCAGGTGAGTTCAGCCGCTCCGCATGGCCGGACGGTCCGCGACGATTGCCCTTGGACCGACCACGATCTGCCCAATACACGCGTGACATGAAATACAAGTCGCCTTACTCGCAGCCACGACCCTGCTCTGCCGGTGCAGCGAGGGTACCATCCGGAGCCGGACGGCCATCCTCAGCGAGACCATCCTCAGCGAGACCAGCCTCGCGGCCGTCGTCCGCCAGGCCGTCCTCTGCTAGGCCATCGTCGGGCAGGCCCTCGTCCGCCAGGCCTGCATCGGCGAGGCCCTCCTCAGCGAGGCCCTCGTCGGGAAGACCCTCCTCTGCTCGGCCTTCCTCAGCAAAGGCCGCTGTAGCAGCTGAGCCTCCTCACCGCAGCAGCCGGCCACAGTCAGCACCGACGTGTATGGCGGCGAGACAGAACAGCGTGGTCTCAGTACCGAGGCGTCCCGCATCAGCTATGCCGGCAACATGCTGCCCAAAGGAAAAGGGAGTCAGCATCCTATTCCAGCAACAGGAGTTCCTTGGGAAACAGATAGCATCGGAACGAGGACTTGACGCGAAATCGCCAGGCTTTGCCATGCTAATGCAAGACTGGGTATCTTCCTACCAGAAGACACGTGTCCGTGCTCGAATGGCCTGTCGTCCTTTGTGGGGCGAAGGCACGATCCTTCAAAGAGGGGACGGCTCGGGGTGATGAGATTAGGTCGATCTGGAACTGGACAGTCCATGTACCTTTTTGTTTTGGGAGGGAGGAAGGCTTCAACAGAATCTCCTGCAGCTGGCCAGGAAGCGATATTCAGCTCAGCTTCCCTAAGCCTCCGCCCCCGGCACGGCCACTCTCAGCACCTACCCGGCGGAACATCGACGAGGAGTTGCAGCAATTGGAGGAGGCACTTCGAGGCGCGTGTGTGAGGGAAACAAGCCACGAATCAAACTCCAGGCATAGTCCGGTTCGGTAAACCTAAGACTTGGGGCCTTAATAATTAGAATAGGGTTTTGGGGTTTCCTTAAAATAACTATAGTAGTATAGTATAATATACCCAAAAAAACCTTAAACTTGAGGTCCACTTCCGGTGCGTGAAGAGAAAGCGCCTTCGGTTTGTAGATCGAGACCATCCCTACAAGAGCCGGAGCTCCTGGGCATTTTTATACTGGATATTATTGTCTATGATTAGTTTTAACAGTATTCTTATTACTGGTATTACTTCAGATTATTCTTGATTACTATCATTAATTATCAACATCATCATTTATGTTAATATCAATATTAATATTATTAGTATTCTTGTTATTATCAGTATTATTATTATGAAGGCTTCTGCTCTTCTACTCGTTGCCTGCGTGTCGAGGTTCATCGACATCATGCAAACTACAGACAGGCCTTTCGGCTTTCTGCCCTCTCCTGCCTCAGGCTCAGTGGAATGTAGCAGAGACTCACTGGCTGCACTGACTGGCAGGCTTCGGATAGAAGCAAGCCATGCAAGCAGATGCCGACGCGCCAAGGAGAAGCGAATGACCTTGATGCTGCCACTCAATGATGGCCCCGACCTCAGTGGGCAGAATGTGGTGCACTGGCAACGTGCAAGTCCCCTTTGGGTGCCTGAGACGTTCATCTTCATGCGTCGGTACTTCGCTGGCCTGCAGGCTCACCAGCAGCCGCCGCTTTGGTGGAGGTGCAGTCATCGGGGCAGGCTTTAGTGGTCTCCAGTCCTGGCAGCGGGGACACGCGTCTGCTTGAAATCATTGAGTGGCAGCTTCTCTGTACCCGAAAGAACATAGCGATTGCTCGCAAATCAGATGGTCATCCAGGCGATGCAAGGACCAACTTCACCACGGAGCGAACATGGTGGGGCTCTCGGGTCATGAGCGATCAGGATCCATCTTATGCTTGACATCTGTCAATCTGTGCAGTTAAGCTGTCCTCAACGAGACCCAGAAGAATGCAACTCTTGAGGCGGTTTTGGTTTGTTATCAGAGGCTGAGCAGCAGCAAGCGCACGCACGCGCGCGCACGCACGC